TGTTTGGGTAATCAATCACAGCTGCAGGTTTTTAAATGGGTTATTTCTCTCTATGTGCGCCATGTCTGCCATTTCTTAGGGGGGAATTGATGACAACAGTGTGACATCTCTTTTTCAGCCACGAAATGCCCGTCATTGGCAGCAAACGCCCCGCACCTCACCCCTACGATCCAGCTCAAACCGGGCATATTTTTTCCCCATTTGCACGCAGTGCCCCCCACATTGTCATGTTCACCCTCCAAAAAATCAGAGTGAGGGGGTTGTGTACCAGTTATTTGTATATAATATATGCCCTTACCAAGGTTGGTTCTTCATTGTTCGAACCCATACCTGAGTGCCCAATAACTTCGGATTTTGCAATGTATAACTTCCAGTGTAAAACAATAATATCCAATACCAAACCCCTGTAACAACACAAGCCAAAACAATTTATACCAAAGCGTTTCCTCTTGCTTGGTAACTATTGCTTGAAAGAGTCTTCCCTTTAAAGAATCCCCTCTTCAAATTTCAAGCTTTCCCGGAGGGATAAAAATGCGTACTGAAATTTTTGTTTCAGTACACAAAAAAATTCCTAATCTTATATAACCCTTTAGTTCTGTAGGCCTGGTTTTTATGAGAAGTGAAGCAACTAAATTAGCACAAATGATTTACTGGGTTATATACTGAAAACCCGGTGTTGCAATCAGGGGTCTGTTGACCATATGATTTCACTTTGTGCTTTTAAACCCTGGGGCATAAGCTTATTGTGGCAAAGAAAGAGCATCTCAGCCCAAAGTTGCCTCCTTCCATGGTGTAGCGGATTTTTGGAAAGTAATGGTTTGCCATGGTGTCTCGTGTATGTGTTGTTTCCATGAATATTTTCCAGTGGTTCGTCAAAAAAATAACCGAAAACATTCCCTTCAGTGGCATTGTTCCCAATGCACAAGATGGCCTATTCCCTTTGGCTGTCATCAAAAAGGTGGGGGATTTGGAACAAAAATTTAAGCTTCATGCCAATCACAGGTGGGTCTGCTGGGGGGTATGGACAATGACAGGTGGTTGGGAGGTTGTGGTTGTGGTGGGTAGTGGGGGGTGGGGGGCCTTTGTTCTAGACAGCTGAGGTAGGGGCGTGGGTGGCAGCATGGCCCAGCTGGTGCCTCACCGCCGGCACCACTACCCCCCGCACATTTTCCATCCCATTGCAACAGTATCTTCGTCTTTTTTCACTGTCTTTTCCTGTTGTACAGCCAGGGGATGTACTGAGATACACCCCTTTCCCCTTGGTAAAATTTATGGCACACTACCAAGCGCTATATCGTGTATATATGACCTTCACTGGGGATTTTTTTGAAATTTTCACTATCACTCTGGAACTATTTAAGGTTGTAGTTCATATTCACATCCTACATCACCCCATCCTCATCTGATTGGGTTTTGGGGGGAAAAAATAGAATTTTCTTTTTGGGTTCGGGAAACAACTGAACGTAACCAAGGGGGCCCCCCCCAGCACCAGAGGTGGAAGGCTGAGGGTTTTTTTTTGGGGTTTTCCTCCTATTACCGATATTTGGTCTTATTTTCGGTCAAAACCTCACTAAAATACGTAACCATCTTCAGGGCATTTAACATTTTTAAACTTCACGGGGGAACAAAAAGTTCCCGTTCCCCGAGGATGAGATCCCTTCCGCGGGGCATGGTGGACTTGTTTCTAAGAGGGCATTCCACAATGCACCACTGGGTCCCAGTTTTTTTTTCCCCCACCGCACCGCCAGCAGCCCCATTCTAACCCCCTGGCCCCTCCCACCTTTTCGCGCGAGATTTGAGGGCCGCTAGAATTTATCCCTACAAGTAAGTCAAAAACCCCTACGCGAAGAGAAATTTAGTACGACCAAAACCCTCAAAGGGTTAAAAGGAAAGAGCATATGGTTCCCAGGCATCCCCTTTATTTTAATATGGCACAAAAGTGAGTGCACACACCCATTCTCTCATGTCTAGGTGACTCAGGCTTATTGTGGCAAAGTTAAATGAATGACAAAGAAAACGTATATATACGTTTGGGGCGCATGAACGTATATATACGTTTGGACCGTTTAAGGGTTAATAAACAAAGTACAATAGTGCCTACATTACTGGGAGTGGTTGAAGTCCCTTGACCTTAACTCCTTGGAATGCAGGCGAGAATGATGGTACAGTGGGGCTGCTGTATCTGTGGGTCTGGTTTCCAATGTTATATGCAGTTTACCCTGGCCTGAAAATAGCCCTTCATTTTGCTTAATGACTGCAAAAAGTGATGGTAACTGATCTTCAAAGCCTAAGAAATAGTGAATGCTTCCCATCTGTGAAAGTGCTAATTCTGCACTTGTGTAATTTATCAAACTTTAAATATAGGATTTCGCTACTGTCTGCGGTAGGTCATGCAACTTATCCCCTGCATATATGGGGGTCCTACTGTAATACACATTGAAAATACTAGATGGACTAGTCCCTAATCTGCACACAGAAATCACTCCCTACAAAAGCAAAACTGCAGGTGGTGCAACATATTCCAGTGAAAAGTTGGGGTGCCAGAGTATTCTAAAACGTGTCAGGCCAAGATTGATAAACTGCCTCCCAGTATACATAAAAGGGGATTACCAGTTGATTCCTGGTTGTCTTCAAGGAGGTGGGTGGACAGTCAGTACCCGATCAGCCAAACTGGTTTGCGATTTGGTTTGTGCAGCCGGGCCTGGTCATGGACTGGGGTCATGGGTGTTGACCCCCCCACCTCACCAACACCCCAGGTACAGGGCAGGATATTTCCTAAATTTTTTTGTAAAAACATAATTAACCCCTTGACTGTTGCAAACCCCAAATCCTGAGGGGGTCTCCTGGGTGTTGCAAAAAAAAAAAAGATAATCTTTTCCCAGATGGTAATGACACCCAAGTACGAAATTTGATGGAAAACTTGAGGAATTATGCTCTCGCGAAGTTAGCAGTCTCGACGATGTTTACGCATCGGCAAATTTCGCCCACTTTGAGCCCTATTTTTGGCCGTTCGTGTACTAGTTTGACAAAAATTTGCATTTCGCTAGAACTCCATTTTGCTCGATGCGACAAGAAACCACCCACTTACGATTTCAAAATATCTAATAAAGTGGTTCAGAAATTGGCAATTTTGCCAGATTCTCACAAATTTCAAAAGATGCCAATTTCCGAATAGGGTCCAGAATAAACAAAGACATCCCCAGCACTAAAATAAAAAAATTTAATTAGTCATGTCCCCAGACCTCTTGTGCATTTTTTTTGCTTTCCACTTTGAATTGTTCTTGCAAAAAAAAATGATTTACTGTTATGCAGACTACTAAAGTGTAGAAATGGTATAAATAATATCAGCGCACTTGTGGAAGAATATTACCAGTTGTCGTGTATTGGACGCGTGGCATGATTCATTAATGTTTGAGCTTTGGCAAAAATCTAACATTTCTGCTACTTTGAGCTCAATTTCAAGGTACTTTTCATTGTGAAACCAATCAAAATCATCTCCATTTCCATGTCTTCCATTATATAAAATGACACCAGGAAAACTAGAATACAACCATAAATACCATACGAAAATGCACTGCAAAGTCGCTGTTTTAAACCAAAAACATTGGTCGGAGTTTTTTTTTTTCTCGTGCACTGTTGCAGGATTTTATATTGCGCACACTGACCACAGACCTGTTCTTTCATAAGTAGGCCTACCAGCTTTCTCTCACTAGATTTGAAGGTGCTAGAATTTATGCGTACTAGTATGGCACCAACCCTGAAAGGGTTAAACCCAAAACTGCTGCATTTCTTTGCATTTTGCACAGCTTGCTGCAGGATTTTTATACTGCACTGACCATGCAGACCCATTCTCTCATATGTAGGCCTACCAGCTTTCTCCTGCAAATTTGAAGCCACTAGAATTTTGGTGTATTACTGGACTGACTAGCTTCAAAGCCATATTGCAAGACACTGAATGGGTTATGTGTAGACAGAGCAGTTTTAATTTGCACAACGAAAGGGTTAAACTAGCATACCCCAAATAAAATTCACGTTAATGACTTTTTATATAGAAAAAACATTTCTAAAATGAGAAGTTTATGGTTTTAAAGTTGGTGATAAAATGTCCATTCATTGGCAACAGCAGTGTAAATTTGCCAGCAGTGTTTAGAATTTCTTGATGTCAAGACATGACTCTTCTAATTACTTTTAATGTTTAATTAAGTGTATGCTATATTAATGTTTTTAGTGTTTTAATACTTCAAATGTGGAAATGTTTAGTGACATTGCTCCACATAGAATATGCAGGGTACATAGTACAGCCTCTCGCTTCGCGACGTACTAGTTTACCGACTAGTACTATTGTCTTTTAAGACTGGCTCTGACCAGTATGCATACCTAAATATGTACGAGCTGATTTCATCTAGTGTTTATTGCAATATACAGTACACTATATAAAAATTTAAAAATATACCAAAGTATTATAAATGGTGCAAAAGTGATATTAAAACACTATTAGATGGTTTACACAAACCCACTGATTATAGCATGCTCCTCGCCTGGTGACGCATTCGTTTACCAATGTGCTCTTAGGAACAACTTCAAGTGAGCTTTTTTTTTTTTAAGCTATGCACTAGGAACACTTGTGATGCAATTTTGTAACATTTCTCAACACATGTCAAAATTTAACTTTACTGGGTTATCTTGGATTAAATGAACTTGGTGGAATTCTGCCACAAAGCATACTTTTGTAAAATTGATAAATTTGGAATAAGTATATTTCCATGCCATTTCCACACCTTGATTGCTATGGGTAAACACGTCCAATACGACTGATAACGAAAAAAAAGGGAGATAACTGGGGTGAGAAATTTTGGCTAAAACGGGCGCTAACCAAATTGGCCAATAGCAGAGGGTCCACTGTACCAAATCGGCACATCTACACCAAATTGTGCTAGAAAAGATTAGTCTTGTTTAAAGGCAAATGCACATTTTTTATAAATACTTTTCTCTGATTTCAGACACAATGGGAGATAAGGAGGAACAAGTACAGCGGGCCAAGCTTGCTGAGCAGGCAGAAAGATATGATGATATGGCTGCAGCAATGAAGCAGGTCACAGAAACTGGTGAGTATCTCAACATATTTAAGATATGTTAAGGGCAGATATTTTTGCCTTCGTATTCTACAACCTTTTCACTCTTGTAGATTTGCTATAATAATGCCCTCTATGCTGTGATTAGTAAATTTTGGCATGGATGTGGGATGATCTTCATGGTGGATGTGCACTGTTGAGAAAAAAAAAAAACCCTGCTCAGTGCAACACATAATGGGAACAGCTAACCTTTAACCTTGTTTGATTTAAAATAGCAATTTTGTGGCATATTTCAGGATGGGTATGAATTAACAGAATGGAAGATACCAATGAAATAATTTTGGTAGGAGATGGCTTGGAAATAGTTCATTCACAAATGTTTAATCTGCTTTTCCTGAGAAAGGGGAGGGGCACTGTTACAGGGACTGTTTTATGTTTTTTTTTTACTAGGGCTGGTTATGGTTTAGGCAAACAGTTAAAGCAATCTGTTGTATTAGCTGAGAAATAAGATATGATATTCAGAATGAAGGGCAAGTGTTGAGGAGAGGCCTGGGGTAGAGGAAAGGTTGCTTAAGAGACTGAAATGCCTTTAGTGTTTGGACTGGTTTGTAAATTGGAATTTGTTGGATTGTGTAAAATTGGCTAAATTATGGACTTCTGCATGCTTTATAGGATACTTTTGATACTTAACCCTTTGACTGCTTCAGCCGTATGTCTTACAAGCCAGTGTTTCAGACGTATATATACTCGAGGCTTCAAATCAAGCAGGAGAAAGCTGGTAGGCCCATATGTGAGAGAATCCTGCAGCATGCAGTGCATAATTTTTTTTTAAATTAAAATGCCGACTGGGGTCTATTTTCGTATAGTATTTATGGTTGTGTTCTAGTTTTCTTGGTTGCATTTGATAGAATGGAAAACATATTATAGAAAGAGGTGATTTTGATAGGTTTTACTATGAAAAGAACCTTGAAATGGAGATCAAAGTAGGGGAAATGTTTGATTTTTGCTGATGTTCAAAAGTAAACAAATGTCATTTTCCAATAATGTGTCAGCATAGTTGCTGATCCCCTTGTTGTATAGCATATCATAGTACCATCCATGTGCTTTATATAGAAGATCCCTTTTAGGCAGAGTGACTGTGTGACGTCACGGGATGCGCATGTGTACGTTCGTACCTCTGCCTCCCTCTGTCGGCAGATAGACATCCAGGCATTGACACGGCAGACTGGGCTTCGTCTCCCATCAGTCTGACAATATATATTACCATCCAACTAGTGTCTACATTCAACCCTCAAATCTCCTTTTAAGAACCCCCACGACAGATGTCCAAGTAGCGATTCTAATATGCAGTTGTGAATGGGTCGACATTTGTAAAATTATTACAATATTGCAGTAGTCTGCATAACAGTAAATCTTCATATATATTTTTTTTTTTAATAAAAATTCAAAATAGAAAGCAAGAGTAATATCAGAGGGGTCTGGAGATGACTGATGAACCAAGAAAATGTTATTTTAGAGCCAGGAATGTCTGCCTTGTTCATTCTGAACCCTATTTTGAAATTGTCATATTTTTTAATTTGTGAAATTGGCCAAATTGCAAATTTCTGACCACGTTATTGGGTAGTTGAAATCGGTAAATGGGCAGTTTCCTGTACTAGATAGAACAAATGGAATTCTAAAGAAATAGCCGAGTGTGGTCGACTGGAACAATGGAATTAGCCAAAAATAGGGCTCATTGGGCAAAATCGGCAATTCGTTGACATCGCTGAGGTCGCTGACTTCATGAGAGCGTAGTTCCATCAAATTTCGTTCTTTTGGTGTTACAATTGGGAAAAGATTTTAATTTCATGAGAATAAATTTGTTTTCGGAAATTTTGCGACACAGGAGACGCCTAAGGATCTGGGGTTGCGACAGTCAAGGGGTTAAATGGGTAGTCTTTTGCACTTGAACAAAGGCATATCAAAACGAGGAATTGAACATTGAAATTGGCCTTAGTGTGTGAAATAAGACGTATAAATTGTACCCAGTCAACTTTGTGCCTGTAATTCTGTAAGTTCCCCTATTTGAAATCCACAGGAAGATTAATATTCTAGAATTTTTTTTTTCAACAGTGAAGGTTACTTACTTTAAATTTGGCGAGGTAAAAGACTGACAAATGAGTTGATATTTGATGTAGGTGTAAGTTAAAGGTTTCAGAACTTTTTACTGTGGATATAAGTGGAAGTTGCTAGATATTTTTTTTAATCTTTCCAGTTTATTATGGCATTCAGAAATTTAACTAAAGTTTTTTTTTTTTCTCCTGGCAGACTAACCAACCATTGTGCTGGTTGCTACTTGTCAGTATTTAATACCACTGACAGTATAAATAAATGGCACCTTAAAATTGGGATGAGTAAAAAATTTAAACTGGGAAAAAAAAAATTAAAATTGGTATGTGCTATATACCTCAACAATATTAAGCATGGCTGACATAAATACCTTTTACAGTTTGTAATAAATGGTATACAATACTGACACAATGGAAATATAAATACTTAAGCAGTAAAATGTGATCCTTAATTGACTGTTT